TCGATACAGAATTTGGTCCTCTAGAAACCAAATTTTTCTTCAACATTTGCATGTCATCTTTACCTAAACCATGAGAATCACAAATTTCTGTTATTATCCTTTCTTTGGTAATAATAATTTATATGTAATAATAATTATATTATAATAATATAGTAATATGACTATGTATATTTTATATTATAATTTCTATAAAAATATAATAATTTTTTTAATATATTCTCAGACGCATATAAGGTTACAGTTTTATCTCTAAGTTCTCTAAAACAAAATTTTACGTTATTTATTAATATTTAGTTTCTGAGTGTCGATAATTCTATTGTATTTAGAAAAATATCATAAGATATATATTTCTATATTACTATATAAAAATAAAATATAGTATTTTGGCGAAACATAAGACTTTTGTTAACTTATGATCATAGTTGTTAAAAAAATATGGAATTAATATTATTTACTTTCAAATGGTAATATCTTTTTTACTTATAATTAATAATAATTATAATAATTATTAAGAAATAAAAAAGTGAATTAACTATTTCAATATTTCTTTTTATTTATTCAATACTGTCAATATATGTTTTTCAAAATTATATTATATTCACAATTATTAAAACATAATCTTTATTTAAATTCCCAATACACATAATTTGATAAATTTATTTTTATGTTGTAATATTATAATAACATTGGTATTAATATCTTTTATTTTTCTATTTTTCTGTTTATCAAATGCGGATTCGATGCGATTTAGTCGCAAATGGTAAATCACTTTTTATTCATCTAATGTTTTAAAAATATTATTTTATTTAATTTTTTTTTTGTATTTTGTTGTAATGTTGTAAAAAAAATATTCGAATTAATAATAACTTTTATTTTTCTAAATTTATTTTCATGTACAAAATTAATTATCCAAAGGTTACAGTGGTAAGTGCAATTAAAAATTTTTGCTTAAGAATAAAATAATTATTTTATAAAATTTTACTCCGACACTTAAAAATGTCACTCATACGCACTGTTGGTCGGTTGGTTGTAGCTTAACAGTTCCAAAGACTGTAAATCTAATATTAAATCAACTGCGTTTGACTTCAAAATGACTAGAATTTTTTTTTTAATAGTAATAGTTATTGAAAATTAATTTTGTTTATTTTTAGAAGAGTGAGAGGTGGCCTAATGTAATTTGTCGTATTAGTTACTAGAAAATATGATATATTAAGCTTTATAAAAAAAAACACTCAATCATTTTAGAAGTGTTTTGAAAAGCATTTGAGTATAATATGGGAGTAAGAATGTATTTTTGTGTATTTTAATTAAAATTTAATTAAAATGGTATTACTACTTAGTGGTATTGGAAATATTAAATATAGGTTAAGTAAAAGTTTCAGTGGAGTTGCAAAATAAAAAAAATAAAAACGCAAAAGCCATAGGTTAATAAAATACAAACATATCTTTTGAAATTACTAATTGTAGAATATTAAAAAATTATTGCAAGTTGAATATGATTGTATTTTAATATTACAAATTCGGGATATAGTACAATAACAGAACTATTAAATATATAATGTACTGATCAATTTGAATTGATATTGTGAAACAAGAAAGTCACATATTTAGACTGTATTATATTTACATAGGATATCTTACTAACACCAAGCTATTGGTAATATGGTTTAAATAAATTGAATATGAGAAAAGTTTTATTAGTTTTTAAAGTTATTACGATGAAGTTTAATACTAGGTTAGCTTGGAAAAATTTATTGCAATTGCACAGTGCCGCATTAGTACTTCAACAAGTACAAAAACTACAGACTTACTGAAATCTAAACGGTTTTTTGTTTTTATTCTTGTTTCATTTAGGTCATAAGGTTTAAACGATTCAGGTTATATTTAGTATAAAAATAATCCATTTTCTTATAGATTGAAATAATATTTTTATGAAAATAAATAAATAAGAATGGGTTATATTACCTTTTGTTTATCTAAAATCATCTAAATTTTATACTAATTTTTTTTTTTATGTTATTATATTGTTACAATAATATTGGCATTAATTACTTTTGTTTTTCCATTTTTTATTTTCATGTACAAAAATTGTTACCAAAAGGATTTCTTGGTAAGTGCAATTAAAATGTTTACTAAAGAACAATATCATTTTAATACATTTATTCTGTGAAATTTTAAACTTACATTCAAATAAATCAATCATACGCACTGTTAGCAAGTTGGTTATGGTTCAGCACTTCAAAAGGTTGCATATGTAAAACTAAATAAATTGCATTGGCTTTGTAAGGACAAAGATGCATATCCTTTTAATGGTGAAAGTTGTTAGAGATTCAATTAAAATGTCAGAAGTGCACAAATAGAATTTGTTGCAATAAATCGTTGACAATTTGCTATGCCACCCTCCATTGAAAACTTCTAGTACATTTAACGAGTTTGTTAAAAAGCAGTTAAAAAAACGGAAATACTTATTTCTTCAATAATATAATAAAATTGTTAAAAAAAAAATTCAACTTTAACTAGTGAATTCATAAATGTGGATTGTTTAATGGTATCATTGAGGTTATAGTGTTAAAAAGAAGGAGTTACCAAAATGTTGCTCCTAATGAGCTGTTAAGCAGCACTATTTAATTAAAGTGGCATTTGGTAAAAATTTTGGTTTATATAGCCAGCTACTTGAGAATTAAAAATGGTTTCTATTTAAGATGTGTTTTAATGAAATGTATTTTAGAAGACCTAAAATGCTTTATTACTATTTATGTTGCACGAATATTTTAACATTTAAAAGAACATATTAAAATAAATGCTTGTATTTTGAGTAAAAGCATTTAAGACCTAATATATAATTAAATTAGTTCAGTTTGAATCAGTTTAAAAGTTACATCCGTTAGAGGTTGGTTATATTTATAGTTGATTTAAGCTTCTATATCGAAAAAGGGTAAAACATTTATAATCACATGATTTTAGTAAGAAGAAGTGTTACAGAATTATATCACAACTTTTCAATGATTGTTCAGCATTAAACGTTATTCTATAGTGTACGAGTAATATTTAGTTTATGATACAAGCTTATAGCTTATATATATAAAACCTATTTATAGGTTACACAGTTATATATTATATATTGAATATATAAAATATTTAGGTGTGGTACTAACTAAATAATAGTCCCATTTCTTTGCTGGCTTGGTCATGTCATGAAATGGAACGACTACGCTCCAGCAAAAAGCTATTTAAAGCGGTAGTTGGAAGAAGAAGCTGTAAAAGACGGTATATGTCTGTTTGGTGGAGTGATCAAGTTCTGGAAGCAATAACCGTATTTTGGGTATAAGACTAGAGAGGACACACACGTAACAAAAGCGCCTGAAAGGATATACTGCGTTGGGTAAAAAGATTGTTATAGACATTTAGGTAACTAAGGAATTATAGTGGTCTCTCTTCGTTCTAGTAAACAAGCGTATTAGGAATTCTCTTGATGAAGGCAAAAGTGAATTTCCCGAAATACGTAGAGAAATATACTAAAAACAACAATCGAATTAAAAGTTAAAATTCTGAAAAAATAAAACCGACTTTCAGCATTAAGTGTTCTATTTGTGCGATAAAATTATTATCAAAGCATTGATTTCGATCAGAGATTCATTACTAGAATTCGTTTACATAGTTTAGGTGTAATCGCATCATCATGAGATGTTTCTTAGCACTTTGAGATTATTTACTGTTGAAGGTAGAAGTTGTAGAAATAGACCGTTATTTTCTTTCCTTTATCTCTATAAAAACTGTTACTAAAACTGTATTTTTAAAAATCTGCTTTCTTCTTTTTTTATATATATATTCTGTTTTATTCATTTTATTTATCCTTTCACTGTTTCACGTTCCATACCTAAAAGCAATTTTGAACTCTTGAAAGAAAAAGCATTAAAAAAGTTCTTACGCTTAAGCACAAACTCACAAACTCCACACACAGCGCAACCGACACAAAAATTAATTAAAATGTGTATTATTTTCATGATATTAAATGATTTACAAAAACAATTGCTAATCTCTCAGCTGCATATAAATAAAACTCTAATCCATTTAGTTGCTTCTGATTTGTACAGAACTATGCAAAAGAAACCCGAAAAAATCAGGCTGAGTGGGAAGAAGAGAATTCGCCTTTTGAGAGAAAAATGAAGCAGTCATGCTTTCACATTGGAAAGCAAAAACAAACAAAAACAAACGACAACATTTTTCTCTAGGAAGAAACAATATTGCTTCCATTGTCGTGTTTTTGAAAGCTCTTCTGCTTTTGCAAACATTTCTCAATAAAATATTTGATTTTGATTTTTGCTTCTGTTTCTGTTTCTATTTTGTTTTTGTTTTTGTTTGTAGCACTAAATTATCTCTTAGAATATACACAAATAATTGTACACTCAAACGAATTCATACGCACACACAGCCATACATAAAAACATATGTGCGCCATTCTAGATTCGCCATTCCTAAGCACAATTCCTTTTATTTGTTGTACAATTCGACAATTCGACAATTCGACAACTCGAGCATTCATTAACAGTTTATAAATATTTAATTTAATTATTTGTTTTTACATATAAATTCATTTATGTTAGTATGCATATAAGTGTGCGTTTTCTTCTTCTTGCTTGATTTTTAGTGAGCAATTAAATATTTACATGTGCACATTATGGCACATGTGTATGTGTGTGTGTGTGTGTGTATGTTATTAAGCGTTTTTCTTCATTACATTTGCTTGTTTTGTATTTATCTGCATTTTAATGTAAATATCGAAATATTTTCTTTATATATAAATAATTGAAAATTATGAGGTATAAAATCTTGCAAATTTTTGTTACATATTTTATTCATTCCCGTATGGAATTCATTGAGGAAAATTGTTGCTACTTGTATTAACGGTTTTGTTGTTGTTTCTTTTTTTTCATAAACAAACAAAGGAATTTTCTCTCAGTGTAGCGATGCAGAATGGTTTGACTTGATTGTTAGCACTCAGAGGTTAACAGTTTGTTGCTTAACTTACTTTCAAATAAACATACGAAATAATAACTAATTATTATTAATAATAAATAAGTAATTTTGGTATTTATATTACAAATTAATGTATTTGAAATTTTTTTATTTTATTTTGCACCTTAAGTTTTTAAATTAGTTTTTTTTTTTGGAAAATTTTTTTTATATACAATTCTTTTTAAAATTTTTTTAAAATATTAATTTTTTTTTACATTAATTTTTTTTTAGATTAATTTTTTTAAACAAAATTTTTTTAAATAATTTTTTTTTAAGTTATCATATATGGATTATTCTTTTATAAATGATATAGTTTATGACTCCATCACCTCACCACGTCTGACAAAAACTTTTCTTATGAATTCATTTTTTTAATTAAAAGTACACATGTTTAGGGGAAAAATCTTTTAAGTTAAAGTATATATTTAAGTTTCAATTCAATCTACTTAAGTTGCCTTACAATTCAAAAAGTTTTCAATCTCTATCATTTATAGAGCTGGAGATATGACCATTTAAAAATTGTTCTGAAATACAAATTCTCAAAACCTCATGAGTCCATATCTAAGAAAAATTTTAAAAATTGTTTAAATTATTTTTAAAATATTTAATTTTAAATATTGAAAATAAAATATTTGATTAATTATCTTTACAATGATAATTGTAAAAATTAATTTTTCCTTTTTTTTTCATTTTATTAAAAAATGAAAAAGCTTAGCTTATGAAAAAATTAAAAATATCAGTGGAAATGATACCAGAATAATCTTTCCCATGAATTAGGAAAGGTATTTTCAGTTGTTATTGCACAATATTTGTAAATATTTGTGAATTAATTTTATATATATTATCTATTTTCTTAATTTTTGAATAAGTACGGCTTACTGAAACCATTACTTAAAGACTAAAGGCAGCACTAAAATTGTATATTTGACAAGGCACATCGGCAGCTTATGGATCATATTCATGTCTCTTTATCAGTTTAAGTGTCTATTTTTTATTTGTTACCGAATTCACAGAGACAAATGTGACCGACACACTAAAATGTGACACACTGCAAACACATTTACTGAAGAGAACAATCACTCATTAAAACTGTTTGAATGAAAGGTTTTGCATAATGATTTGCGAAGTCTTACTTCATAAAAATATGTTATTAATTGATTATACATTGAAAAAGGACATCATCTAAAAGAAGACACTATATTATGGTTTATATTTGAAATACATATGTTTTTGAGTTCAGATATTGTGGATCTGATATTTTCGATAAGATATTTTGGATCAGATTTTTTGGATCAGTTATTTTGGTACGTTTACAATTGTCTAGAAGTCGCGATTTGAAGACCAATTTAAGTAAAATGGGGCTATTTCTTAAACTATATCGAAATAGTTTAATTCCATAAATTCGGGCTTTAACATTGTAAATTATTACATGAAAATACAGAATAATGTATCTATTTATTGTTAATTTTCGTTTGTATAATCAGTGCAAAAATTTTCAACAATTAAGTTTAATAATACAAGGTTTCTCTAAGTGCTGAATAAAAACCTAAGTAATATTTATGTAACATTATAAGTACCTCTTTAGTGAGTAATGCAGCATAATTAGAGGATACTTAACTTAAGTGTGCATTGTAAAACTGATACTTAAAAAATATAAATCAATTCAAATCCACATAAAAATCACAAGATAATTAAAGAAATATTTTAATCTTTTTAAATTTTTTTATCAAAAGTTTTTAATTTAAATAAATGCATGGGTTAACAATATTTTAATTTTTTTTTTTATAATACGCAATATTTGTTGAAACTTTCAAAAACAAATTGACTTAAACTTTTCTCATATGTTCTAAAATTTGTCCTCATGAAAATATACAACGAAAGTTCAAAAAAAAGTTGGCAACTCTGTTAATAAAAAAGTTTAGAAAAAGCTCTTCTTTTTTCTTTTTTTTAAAAAATAAGTGTGCGTAAAATTCATGCGCTTGATTTCATTCACAAAACTTTCTGTTAGTAAAATTAAAAAAGTTTTTTATTCTTGTGTAGATTTGCACAACTGACATGTACATACACATACGCACATAACCACATACAATCATT